AGAGGCGGCGAGCTGGCCGCGGGGAGCGAGCAGTGGGCTGCGGGTTGCCCGGGTCCTGCGTGCGCCTCCCAGGCAGCCAGAAGCGTGACCTGTATGTAGCATGGTGTCAAAAGGGAGGTAAAGAAAATAGAGGGTGTGAACTGCCCGGGCACGCCAGGAGATAGGAGACCTGCTTTCTCTGGGCCGCTCCGTGCTGCTTCAGAGATCATCATGCATTTAAAAAGGTAAGGGCTTCGCTGCCAGCCGTCCCTTTTGTGGCTTATTCCTGTGCTCGAGTGCGAATTCAGTGCACATTTCAGTAAGTGTTGACTTGCGTAGTACAGAGAGTGGAGAGAAAGTGGAATGTGATCTGATATACTAGCCCGGAGATTTTTTGGGAAACTACCTTAGTTTCAACTGTTAATGATCTCTTTTAGGGATAAGCAAGCTGATGGGAAATACGTAGTGTGTAGTAAAGTAAATCTGTGACTGGCAGAAGAACGTAATGCATGTATGTGATGAGTGAAGAGTGCTCTGTTAAAGCATGAAAATCAATCACAGATCCCTGCCAAAATGAAGGCCAATGTAAGATAGACCTGATAAATAAGTATGTATATGTATATATGCGGAGAGAGTAAGTCAGACAGACATGCAGCTGACAAGTAAGTTTGATAGAAGAAACCAAAATAACTTATTTGCTAGAAAATCCCGTATCTACCTTTACTTAAAGACAGCATCAGAAAAGAATGCTATAAAAAGAGCAAAGTCGAAACTTATAGTGTCTGTATTTTCAAAGGCCGGTGACTCTAGCACATTACGAATACAAATGGCTTGAGTGGCCCTACTTACACATACAGAAATAAAAAAATAACTTCAGTGGAGCAATCCTGATAGGTAGATGCAGAGTTTAGAAACTGCTGTCAATACACAACTCCAACAGTGCAAGGACTTACTCATTTTAAATACGTGCTCTATCAGCTTTGAGAAAAATGCCTGAATTGTGTTTCTTCTGCTCTGGATCTGCGTGTAGTGAGAGCCGTCGTCTTAGGTGCTGTTGCTTTGCTGTCTAACTATCACAGGTCTATCCGAACACTACCTATAAATTCTTGCCTTCTGCTGTTCCTTCTCTCTAAATCATGTACATAATATAAAAGTAGGGGGAGGAGGGGGGAGAGAAAGAGCTGTTGTATTTTCAGTAAGCTTATCCACCTCCAGTTAGAGGTAACCTCACCAGCAGGCGCTGGATTCGCTGGAGTTGCTGTGTTTGGGGTGCTTGCTCATGAAACGCTGAAATGCTGCGAGTGAAAATGTCAACTAGGAAACACGAAAACAAGCAGCCGAATGTTTTACAGATCTCACTGCAGAAGGCAGCATTTGTATAACATGCCGACAAAACAACTTGAGAACCTTGGAGTGATGCAATCACCCTGCCTCATCCCTTCCCATTTTTTCTACTACTGCCTGAATCCCGTTGCGAAGAATTAATTACAAGAGCCTACTAATTGTTTACACCAATGTGTGTCTGGAAAGTTGTTTCTTTAGTCACAGAAATAGCAGTGACTTTCTGCTCTTCTCAGTCTCAGGAAGAATCAATGACTTATGGGGCTAAAACAGTTTTATTTCCTTTGGATTAATTTTGACTTGGGTTATCACATCTGACTATGATCAGGTTAGAAAATTTCTTGCTTGAGATTTCGACAGAAAAAATGTAGCATACCTAAACATACCTAAACCAAACCAAAACAAAGTTTGCTTCTTCAGAAGCTTCTGAAAATCTAAATGGAAAATTAGAATAGCAATCAATTTACCTAGGTCTTCACTTAGAAGAAAAAGGAAATGGTGGGAGGCATTAGATGATGCTGTCTGGAAACATTAAGTGTTTTCTAGCTGTCATGTGTGACTAGTGCCTCCCTTTCTTATTCCTCCCAGAAGCAGACATTGATTTTTTTCTTTTCCTCCTGAAACACTAGTAATCCTTTATGGGAGTGAAATCACCCAAAATGCAATTTGACAAACGAACGGAGCCAAAATACACTTTCAAGAAGTTCTTACTAAAGAAAACTGGCCTATTAGATTCTTGTAGCTAGGAACTTACAGATAATAATTCTTTGAGGAAGATATCTGACTCTTCTTCTTAATCCTTAACTCCATCATTGATATACATATACATTTACATATTATATACATATATATTTAGTTGCAACTGCATTCTCACTGTAGTATGTTTTCCTGTTCAATATATCTGCTCTTCAGGAAGGGCCTGATCTTGCACAACTAAAGACAATTAGAGCATTACTATTAACTTCACTGAAAGCAGGATCAATTTCTAAGACAATAATTTGGAACCGAAATGAACTTCAGTATTAGAAAAACTGGGAGGACCATGAAGTTACATGCTGCATACTGAGCAGTACAAGGGGACTATATTGACTCAAAGAACATTAAAATAGTAGAGAACTGAAGTTTTTTTTTTTTTACTTCATCTTATATTGTTTTAGGTCTCAGTATTCTATCATCATTGATAAATCAACATTTTTTTATGAATAAAGTACATTAAGAGAGCTTCATTTTCCAAAGGGCCCCACTGAGCTGCAGGCATTCAGTACCCTGAGAATCAAGTCATCATACTGCTGAAAAACATAGTGTGAATAATTCAGTTCCCTAGCTCTGAAATTAACTACTTCTATGTACCACAGTGAGTATACACACACGCACACACA